TGATGTCGCCAAGGCGTCGGCGCTATAGCATTTCATTATCCTAACGAGCGCAGTATTTCAAAATTACACGCCACCACAATGACGGCCTTTGCAATTGGGACGTTCGGATGGATTGTGCTTTGCGCACGAGGAATCCACAAATTTTCACCGAATCTCACTTGACCCAATTTGGGAAAAAAAAGCCCTAAGGCACCACCAGATCCCAGGGAGCGACGTCTCTACGAGATAAGCCTGCAAGGAGGCCCGTTGACTATGCTAGTATCCTCATGAGATCATCCGAGGGCCCGTCTACCATCATAAAGGAGCTGTTCGGCACGCACCTGGCGCAAATGGACGCAGCGAAGTCTTCGGGTTCCTTAGTTCCTTGTATATTTGAAGCTCTCGGGAAGCGTGAGCTGATACCGCACTGCAGAAGGGTATTGGGGCATTTAACCATCATGGTGACGACGGACATCAGGGCGGCAAGGCCCGGGCAGGCAGCACACTGGCCCTGGCAAATGCCGAAACCGAGGCGCGAGTCGCGAGTCCCAAAACTGTCCCCAACCACGGGCACGCAGTACAGTACCACTGGCATGATGCGTCATGGTGAACCATCACAATCGAAATTCTCCCCGACGATGCCCTACTTCTCATATTCTCTCCGTATCGGCCGACTAACTTGACTTGGTATCCCTACTGTATCCGCAGCCGACGTGGAAATGAGGCACGCTTGTACATGTGTGCGGTGTGCTGAAGATGGCGGTATCCCATGCTCGCGTCACTTCGGCATGGGGATCTCCGGCCCATCTTGCACTCGGCCGGGAGGCAATGCCAATAATGCGAAAGGTCCTTGGATTTCTTGCCGGCCTTTCCCATTTCCATATAGTATGGTCTTGCCTGACTCTTTGGCGCTGCTCTCAAACATTCTGATTGTATATGCCAAATCTACCTCAATATGTCAAGCTCGATGTTGGAAAAATCAACGGCTTTGGAGGAGGGTTCGTTTCCGGAATTGGGGGGTCTTACGGCTTCGATCGCTCTTCGTTGATATTTAACGGTCCTCCCAAGCACATTCATGGGCGGATCCACAGGCATCCCTCCCCAGTTACGCAATATCTGCTTGAGTACAATCTCATTTCCTAAAACTTCACACAGCTCCTCCTATCTAGCCTGAATCTCGTTTCTCTCACCCTTGGCCCTGATTTCGTCGCGGGTACGGGATCCCCTTCACCAGATGCCTCATCCACCATACTGTCCTCAATTCCCCAGCTCCAACGCCTTCGTCTTGACCTGCCCCCCAAAATGCCGGACGCAGACTCGGAGCTGAGAGGCACGTACACTCCACACAATTTTATTGTCCTCTCTACAGTCATTCACTTCCGCTTCGAGGGTTCGGAGATGTATCTAAAGACCTCGTTTCCCCCTCCTCAAGAATCATTTTGTATTTCTTTTTCACCCATGCGTTTTCCGTGTCCCCCACTGGGCGCAGGGGGCCCGCACTCTGGGCTTGACGGACTGCGCGAAGTCCTACATGTTCGTCGCTGCATGTTGGTGTGCCTCCTCCGTTCATCTTCGTACCTATTGAGCTCTTTCGATGGCGTGCAAGAGCTCTAAAGACACCCGGGAACCACTCGAAATACCATCGAACTGGATTCCTCATAGTGAGGTTTTAGTGGGTAGTAGACCATAGATGTTCTGAGCCCCACACTGCCCCACCATGCTGCGTAAATGCATTTTTTCCTCCCTCCGGACCCCGCGTGGTCTGGCTACAACGTGCTGACTAGAGCTGATGCCATCACCTGCTACCAGCAACTGAACTCCCCCGTAGTTACATTAGCTAGCTAACTGTACAAATCGGGATAAATACAAAAGGGTTCGAGCGTTTTCAAAAAAAAAAAAAAGGTCCTCGGGCCATTTAATGCAATGTGTTCAGCACGAACGAACGGAACAATGATAGGCGTCTATCTCGGCTGACTCAGGCTGATTTGTCTCAGTCCCACTAATCCGTCATCCTTCCCCCTGATCCTGATCATGAACCATAGGCTGACGAAGGACGGGGCAGAGGTGGCGTTAATATATCATCATTACGTTATCGTCACGTGACTCGGCCTGAGGATTATATCATCCGTGCCCCTCTCCTCTCCTCACCCTCATCTCTGCGATGTGTCGTTCACGCCCAAACATTCCTCGCTCTCACTCTATCTGCACTGCCAAGTCAATTGGCCGACATCTCACAATAGATGTCCTCCCCGACGAAGTCCTTCTTCATATGTTTCTCTTTCATCGATACGCCGATACAGCTCATCACGGCGACGACATCTTCGTCTCACACATTTGGAATTGGCACACGCTCGCCCATGTGTGCCGGAGGTGGAGATTTCTCATATTTTTGACGCCGTACTACCTGAGAGTGCGGCTAGTCTCGGGCAGGCGTCGCAACACGACGATGGATTGCTGGCCCCCGTTGCCGATTTGCCTGTGGTACGACCCAGGCATCTCGCCGAACCTTGATGAAGAAGACGACATCCTCGCTGCGCTCAAACACCCTGATCGTATACACGAAATCGATCTCACCATATCGGGCTCGATGCTCGCAAGATCAACCATCTGGGTGGACGAATCGTTCCCAGAGCTGCAATCTCTTCACCTTCGTTCGTCCCGTCGTGGACTCACGGTCCTCCCGAGTGCATTCTTGGGCGCGTCGAGTGGCACCCCTCGCAAGTTGCGCCACATCCGCTTGGGGAACATCTCCTTTCCGACATTTCCGCAGCTCCTCATGTACAGCCGCGATCTCGTCTCCCTTTCACTTGGCTCGGGCTTCCTCCTAGATGAGGAATTCCCTTCCCCTGAGACCATCATCGCTGCCCTGTCTGCGTCCACGCACCTCCAGCACCTTTCCCTCCATGCCGACTTTGAAACGTTTCCCTCCCCCACAGAACAAGAAAGCCCACACCCGCCCCCGCTCGATCTCATCACCTTCCCCAGTCTCGTGAAATTCGACTTTAAGGGTTCCATCGAATACCTAGAGGACTTTGTATCGAGGATTGATGCCCCCCGTCTCAAGCAGCTCTTTATATCTTTCTTCCGACAAGAGGCCGTCGATATTCCGCAGCTGTCCTTGTTCATTTCCCGCACACAGGAGCTGAGTTGTTTGCCACATCTGTCCTCCATCACCCTTTGGGACCACGAATTTTTCACCATCGAACACCGTTTCCGACCGCCGGAGCTTCCCCATGAAAGCATTCGGCTGGTCGTAAGGTGCTCTCTCAAGTCCTGGGAGGTGTCCCAAGTGGTCCACCTTTGCAGTCAGTTGTCCTCGTTCATGACCATTGTGGAACAGCTGCAAGTATCCGCGTATTATTTCCCGCCAAGTGTGGACCCCGAGACGGACTCTGCACCATTGTTGGAACTCCTTGCGCCTTTCAGGAGCGTGCAAGAGCTTCATTTGTGGAGCAAGGAGTGGTTGAATTCTGAGCCCGCGAATGTTCTAGAACGTTCCACGAGGGAAACGGTCCAGCGTGTCTTGCCGGCGCTGCGCGTCCTCCGACTTCACGGTTATTGTGCCAATTTTGCTGCTGTGCGCCATCTTTACCCGTACCATCGACCCGTCACGGTGCGCCGCACTGTGTACTTTAATGACTGACATACTCTTCTGGGCGAGGACATGGATTGGCGGCTGTAGTTCTATGCTATGCCATCTCATCGATCTCATCTCCTGTGTGTTCTGTGTTTTGCCGGCTGTCATTCTCCGTAGATTTTCTCTTACCTCAAAATGTTACCATACGCTGCTTGTAGGAAATCGATGTCGTGTTTTAGTGTACAGTACACCACCTCATCGTTAAAAAGGAAAGCTGCGTGTTCCCATACAGTATTCCCGCTGGCGGGCCTGGAGTGACAATACAGTACGCCCGTCAACACTCTTACGTCAACGTTTACATGCCAGTGTTGGCGCATCCTTGGCATGGACTGCTCGAGGCCCCTCGTGTCGTAGTCGTGTCATTCGCCGCCGCGTGAGAACGCCCTCCGCTGGCGAATAATCAGTGTTATCGCAATGATCAACTCGCACGCAGCCTATTAGATACGGTGTTCACACACGGGGCAATAGCACTCAAATAACCCACCCTTGGTCTCTGTCGTTGGCTCGTGCGACTGTGGTGACGCGGTTGACGAAGAACGAGGGCACACGCAGACAGACCATAAATTTTTTATGGACGCTCAATTGAAACGCCCCCACCGCGTTTTGCATCTACATCTACGTACGAGCAGACAATAACTAGCTTGAGAGCGAGCGGCGTCCCTCGGATGAGAATGAGAATGAGAATGAGCATGAGCATGACGATGACAATGACGATGACGATGACGATGGAGTAGCAAACCTCCTTTTCGACGCCGTTGGGGAGCTTGTGCCCCCTGCATAGATGCTAGAGGGAGCTTCGCGCGGGAAAGGGGGAAAGGGGGCGACGAATGCGATGGGCCATCATTGCATCATCGATGATGATGGCAGGCGCCGTGGGACTAGAGAGGGGGAAATTGTGAGAGGTAGGTGGGTGGGAGGATCGTGAGTTAGGATCGTAGCGTCGAGCGTCGACGAGCACACTTGGGGAGTGATATAGTTATATTATCTCCCATACTGTACTGGGAGAGCGCAGTGCTACTGCACTACGCAGCAACTGAACAGGCATCCGTCGTTCAGTCAGTTTCGTGCGTTCGTGGTTTCGTTCGGAGTTCGTCGTTGGGCAGGAAACCAGGGAAGGCCAGAGGCGAAAAGACTTACTCGCGACTGTGCTAACGTGTAGGGAGTGGACAGGGATCCGAATCGCGCAAATGTGACTTGGATGTATTGGATTGTCGTGCGATGTGTGCACGACGATGTTTGAGATTGAGAATTAAGTTCATGTTTCGAGTAGAGTTCAAAATTTTTCAAAACAGACAGAGAAAAAGATAATACAGTAAGCGGGACGTAAGTTTCATCAATGCCGTGATTTGTCGTCTCTGTAATCAACAAATTGACATTCTGTCAGGCCTGCTTAGCTCAGTGGTAGAGCGCGTCACTTGTATATCATGTGAATTCATGATCTGCATGACGAGGTCAGTCGTTCAAACCGGCTAGTTGGCATTATTTTTTCCTTTTTTCTTTTTTTTTTCTTTTTTCAAAACTGGTACCGGGTTAGCACTGCTCGCCTTCCCCAGCGTGCATGGCAGATGTGATCGTCTACTCGCCGAATGAATGCGGAACAGTCTCTGAATCTGAATACCACCACTTCTCTTCCCTCAGAACTAGTAAACTAGAACGCCTGTCCGTGTTCATCAACGTTCATCTACAATACAATTGCCTCGGCGATTACTCATGCTCTGATACGTACAGTATACAGTATGGACACAGTGTAGGCCACAACGTCAATCAGGCTTCCATCACCACAATCCTATCACCATCACGCCCATGGCGATGATCCTCATTTAGTGGGTCCACCTGAGGGACAGCCGCTGTGCCCTCATCCAAGAAGTCCAAACACCCTCGCCCGCAACCGCGCCACAAGAGCGGTACCCCGCCTGTGGTCTCGCCAACGCGCACACCGGCGAGCTCAGTCACCCACGTATACCGCTCCTCTGCAGGCTGGACGAACGGCGGGCCAAGTCGTGCCCACGGCCACGGCGACGCTACAGGTGATGCAGCACGGCCATGCCGCGGGGATGGACAGCGACCAGTGCCACTCTGCTCGATTTTTTTCTGCTGCGCCGCGGCTGCGGCACCCTCTGCGGCCTCGCTGCTGTGGGGAATCGGTGGGTGCTCCTTTTCTGATTTGGACAAGGTGGACGGGGAGAACAACCCCGCGCTTGGGCCCGATGTCGTGGCGCGCGAAAAGGCGTGTCGTCGTGGGGCAGACACAGCGGCAGGTGCGAGACGCGCAAGGAGCGCAGCATCTGCGGGAGTGAGCGCCCCTTCTTGTAGCGGAAGCTGGAAGCGGTCCTCGAGGGTCGTAGGTTGTCGGGCAGACGCAGTCATCGTAGTCACGGTCGTCGGGGTCGATTTCGGAGGGAGTTGTTGACCTTTCGAAGGCGTGAGGAGGTATCGTAGGACCAGTTCGCGCAGTGGCGGTACGCGGAAGAGCACACGCGTCGAACCATCCACGGCATCGGGCGCATCTTTTTGGGCGGTGTGGGCAGGATCTGGGTGCCATGGGTTCGTATGGACGTTGAGATTACCGAGGGTCATTGTCGTCATCTCTGCGGGGAGAAAACGCAAATTATTGTTGACCACATCGAGGTCTTTGAGAGCCTGTAAATGCGCAATTTCTGGAGGAAGGTAATCAAGGCTGTTGTTCCCTGTCCCCAAGTCATCAGCGCGTGCAACCAACAAATGAAACCAACCAAGCAAGGGCGCACGGAGGGAAAGTACCGTCAGATTGCTCAGCTTGAAGAACTCCGCAGGAAGGGATTTGATTTCATTGTTCGCTAAAAAGATCATGAAGCCCTGAGATCGGGTCCGGGCATGGCCAACGCGGTGTGAAAGGAATGACCGATGTGGCGACGAGAACACTGCTGGCGGTGCGGTCTGCACACGCTTGAAAGGGCGTTGGACCGAGTCAGATATGACGCCGAGGCTGTTGAGTTCCACAATCGACGGGGGCACAAAGGTGAGCCCCGCGTTTCTGAGGGCCGTGAATACAATGTTTAGTGGTAGGGGGAGGAGTGACACGTACTTCCAAGTAAATTCAGCCTCGCCCGTATCAACCGCTCGCGTGATTTTCTCTTCCCATAAGGTAGCCTCATCTGGAGGCTCCGGTTCAAAACTCGACGTTGAGAAGCCCTCGTCTTCATCAAAGAAGCTCTCAAGGACTTTTGCGCGATCTGCCGAGGACGAGATGTCGGGTCTATAAGCCCAGGTGGCAGGCGTATAGGATGAACTTGAATAGCGAAGTTCATGAGAAGGATGGGTTGTGGCATGGGTAGAGCCGGCAAAAGGATGAACTATGCCAAGTGGAGTAGGTGGACGGTCGAGATCGAGGGGTTGTAGGGATGGGGAGGCAAGAGGAGACGAGTCAACAAAGGAAGATGCGGACGGGGAGCCACCCGGAGAGGAAGAGGGTGACATGTATGCGCGGTCCTCTGGGGTAATGAAAGCCATTTTCGCGGGAGTCTTTGGGAATAGGCGTTTTGTCGGGGTGGTGGTAGAGTCAAAAGGGTGCGTGGGTATGTCGGGCGTTGTACATAATTCTGTCCTTCCTTTCTTTTTCCTTTGACTCACTCGTTCTTCGTCCTTCTGTAAACGACTTCCCCGCATCACGAGACCGTGGTCGCGTCAACCACGTGCATGGACGCGCATCGCGGCTGACGGCGGCAATCGGCCCTGATCATGACTAGTCCGGCTTGTCTGCCTTCGCGCTAAACTTTGTTCTCCACGATGTGACGTGAAAGACATCCAAAACACGTTCTTGGGCTGCCCTCTTCGCTGCCGGTCAGTCTCTGCCACTCCCGAGAAAGCATACTACACATGGTTCTATGTGGTCTCTGCAGCAGTCGCGGTGACAGCGGAAGGAAAGGGACGTGTTACGTCAGAGGAGGTCACCGCGTACGCGCTGAGCGAGCTAGACCATGAAAGATCGCTCATTTACACGGCTAAAGAGACACGAGGTAGGCGTGACTCGGAACTTAAATCTCAACCCTCGACCCGGCATAGAATTCGCTCATTCGCGCCCTTCTCTTCCTTCTTCCTTCCAGGATCCACCTGGGGAGAACGAAAAACCGGCGCACTCGACACATTTCTGGCCTTAGTGATGGCTCCCAAGCACCGACGGAAAGCTGGCTCTAGTGGCACGAGCTCTGCGAAGACATCTGAAAGGGAGGGGCCGCTAGAGGCGAGAGCCCTCAAGCGTGCAGAGCGCTTCGAGGCCAGGCGCATCGAAGCAGAAAAACACAAGGAAGCTGTACGTCCTCATGTACCGTTGATGCCACCCACCCCGAGTGATGTGCCATTGTGGCCCGTTGACAAAAGAAACTCATGAACGTGTTGTAGGGAAATGTGCACTTCCGTGCGGGTGATTACTTCGAGGCCATCGAGGAGTACCGTATCGCCATCGAAACCCACGGTCCCAGCGCTCCATACCTGTCAAATATAGCTGCTGCATGGCTGAAACTGGAAGAGTGAGTTTTGCCCGCGGTCGCGCGCAGGTTTTATGTATCAGTGTAATAACGTATGGGGACTGTAGGTACAGCCTCGCCGAGGACTCCGCTCAGCGTGCCCTCGATCTTGATCCCCGCTTCATGAAGGCGCGTTATCGTCGTGGCCTCGCGCGCAAGGGAAATTTCGAGCTTGCCCGCGCCTCCGTCGGTATGTGTCACCCCGCGCTTACCCTACCTGATGCCCACGCGTGGACGCAGACTTCCGAACCATCTTGAAGCAAGATCCCGAGTCGACCGAGGCTAGGGACGCGCTTCGCGAGACGCTCGCCCTCATGCGCGAGCGTGACGAAGATGACGACGACGACGTCGCGGTCTCGGAAGACGAGTACCCGGTGCCGAGCGCTACCAAGGTCGAGCTCGAGTCGGTGTCGGATTCGAGCGATTGGAACCACGAAGGGAACGGCATTCCCTGCAGGTTCTACAACCATGACGGCTGCATGCGCGGCACCGACTGCCGGTTTTCGCATGCTCCGGACCACAAGAGTGTGCGCGATCGCTTGTACGTTCTTGAGAATTTTTGGGTTCGGTTTGCGCGAAGAAATGAGGCCACTGACCGAATTTGGACACTGTGCAGGGGGCGCAACGTTTGCATGTACTTCCTTCTCGGGTACTGCAAGTTCGGCGACAGTGCGTGTGTATACTCTCATGACAAGGTGCACTTGCCGCCCGGTCGCTGGTGGGACGACGAGGGAAAACGCCTGCTTCTCCGCCACATCTCGAAATCGTTGCACCCTGCCGAACACTCGGCGTTCATGCCATACATGTTTGGAATTGCGGACGATCGGCTCGCGTGGGCATCTGCGCACGGCGTCGAGATGGAGGACCACTTCGAGCACAACAGGGAACGGGCACTCGAAGGATTTCGCGACGCCGCGGATGCCGGGCTGGCAGCTGCTGCGCTTAACGGTTTGAGCCACGAGCCGCCCAGGGATAGGTATGGTCGTGGGAGCGGGCATGGTCAGGGTCAGGGCAAGGGGGGACGTGGAGGTCGGGTTGTTCAGGATTATGACTTGGATGATGATGACGACGAAGTCGACTCGGAGATAGAGGAGAGGATGGCCAACTTGGTTTCACGGAAGACGAAGCAATGGAATTGCTCGCCCAGGGCGTCAAACCTTGGGATGAGGATGCTTGGGTGAGTGTTCTGGTTTGAGTTGCCTCTTCTTCCTGATGCTCACTCGCTCGTGCCAGGATGTTCGTGACGCACTCTACTCGTATTATTGACAAGCACGGACAGATACGTTGCCGTGGTCATACTTCCTTTTGAAATGTAGATGTCCGTACATGCGCGAATTAGGAATTAGGCTTTCATGAATTTCTGGAGTGTTCCATAAGCGGGGGGGCCAAACAGAGGACCAAACACCAAGTGGGCCGCTTTGCCGCGCCGCGTATATTTCTTTTCCTCCTCCGTTCCTCTTCCTCTTCGTTCCCTTCTCTCCACCAAAAGGCCCTCCATCGTCATCCCCATTCTTCCTCTTTCCCTCCCACCTCCGCACATCCCTACACCATGCACCACGTCACTTCGAGCTCCTCCCGCGCGCTCCGCCGCGCCGCAGCGAAGTCTGCCCGCCCCGTCCTCGCGCGTGGCGCCCACAAGGAAATCAAATTTTCCAACGAGGGCCGCGCGAGCATTCTCAAGGGCGTCGACGTGCTTGCAAACGCTGTCAGTGTTACGCTTGGTCCGAAAGGTCCGTTCTCCCATTTCTGTGCGGCCGTGGTGTTGCCTGCTTTTGCTGACGTGTCGCGTATTCAGGCCGGAACGTTATCATCGAGCAGTCGTTCGGTGGTCCCAAAATCACCAAGGGTGAGCACTCTACTTCTTGTTTAGTCTACAATTTACGTTCTTTGTTGTCCGCGTCTTCGGTGGACGGACGCTCGTGTTTTTTTTTCACTTAACCCCATTTAACCATTTCTTTTCCTGCCTGAGCCTATATT